GGATCAATCCACTTAGCTAGAAGTTCAACTTGCTCCCAAGATTCCTCGGAATCTTTAAATCTTGAAACTTTACATCTAGACAGACAATAGCCACAACAAATTTCAACCCCAAGCTAATTACCAACTGCTAAGGTAATACCTCAAGCAATAACAGGAGTTTATAATGGAAACACCAACAATCCTACCTTAAAAATAAAAGGTAGGTAATTTGTTGCAAGTCTCACTCTATTCTCTTTAAAAAGCTGTCAATCCCAAAGCTTTCACACACCCACTGCCACCGTGAGACCCTCCCACCCCATCCTTCAGCCACTTTAGTAAGCTTGGCTGCCCAGGACTCACCCATGGAGGAGGATGCAGGTGCGTCAGAAGTACGACCATAGTGTGCCATCAGCTTGAGTTTGGTCTCTTGCTTTCTGTGTTTTTTGCCTACGTAATGCTGTTTTGCCATGAGCGGATTGTTGAAAGTGGCATGGCAGAGGCTGCAGAACTTGTCTGGGTCAGAAGTGTTCTGGTTCTCCTCGTTGGAAGATACAGCAGAGGGAGGGAAGTTAGCTGGGCATTTCTGTGGAGGCATCGTTACTGTAAAACGAAACAGAACCCCAATTACCAATCTTCAGAGATGTACAAACTAAGCAGCCAGAGTCAGGCTTTGGAATTTTCAGTTTGTTTCTACCGAGAAAGGCTTTTGACAGAAGTTTTGCTGGAGACTTTTCATTTGGATCTGCATCCATCTCTTCCTTTCATATCCCATCATCAAACACCAAATGGTAAGACAAGTCAGAGTTCCAAGTTAAATCAGAACTGCAGATCCTCCTTGACATTCACCTGGCCATATCTTGGAGCACAGCAGGCCAACAGTGACATGTTTAAAGAAACTGGAAACAAATCACCTCCCACCCACAAGGATGTCAGTCACTCCCAGCAAATGGAAAAAGGGGACAATACAGAACAGAGCAAACCCTCCCATAATGCACTTTGAGTCATTTCCTTTCAATGGTACGATATATAAACTGTGTGTGGATCCTGCACCATTAGTCAATAGTAGCCTTGCCACCAACTTTCTCGGAACAGGACTGAGCCCGATTAAATGAATTCGTAGACAAATGCACACAGTTCCATTGCTGTATGACGGACACATGCAATGTACTCTTATGCCACAGTGACAGGCACCTTCAAAATATCTAAGCGCGCTCCCCCAGTGAGCTGCTGGAAAGTGACTTGTCTCCTCATGAGCACCCCTGTATAAAGGCTCCTTATCTGACCCAACGGAGGCTCCAAAGGGTAAGAATGCCAGATGGGACCCAGAAGTCGACTCTCTCTGCATGCACTGCACATGGAGAACTAGGCACTCCAGTTGCTCCAAATTAGAATTGCCTTTCTTAAAGCAAGCTTCAGGGCAATGCAAGTCTACAAAACAGACTACCAAAAGGGGGAACAGAGTTGTTGGCATGTGTTTCACCAGGCTGCCACATGCTTCTGATTTCTAACAGCACTCGTATCACTAGGAAAGCATTAGCACCCTAATGCCAATGGGTCCAGAGCTGGAGCAAGGTACTCAGCCACCCTCTAATCTAGAAATCATGATGTGAAGGGAGTGGAAAGGTCACCTACTTGAGCTGCTCCTCACAGGACACCCATACAAATACTGCAGACAGCCATACCTTCCACTCTGGGGGACTGCTGCTTCAGCTTCAGGTTCTTGGCATGAGTCTTGCCCAAGTAGTGAGACATGGCCACAACGGGAGAGGAAAAGGTCATGTTGCAGATGGGGCAGCATTTGTTCCTGTCTTCTCCATTGCTGCTCTCCTGTTCACAAGAAGGAACATTGCTTCAGATTCCCAAACGTCAATCAGATATATCCAGTTGTCAAGGCCAAGGAATTTGGTGCAGCTTCATACCTTCCTTTGAAGAACAGTGCTCTCATTTCTGACTAGTCTCACTTTCATTGGATAGTGGCACATTTTGGTAAGCTATTATGACCCAGAGGAGTTGAGGACAAGGTAGTTGGCAGCATTGGTGTAGGTTCCCAGCCTATTCTCTACAAGGTATGGACCAAGCAATACAAGGCATTGCAGCCAACTGCCATCTCTAATTCAAAGCTACCTGACTAGGTTAACAGTGTCTACTTTATTCATGTCTGAACATACCCACCACACACACACACAGATCCTCCTTTTATACTCACCCCTGCACTGCATATGCTATGTGGGCATATGCAAGAGGCTGGATTGGAGGTGATTAGGAATTAAAGCTGAAGCAGTGATAAAACTTGGATCTGTTACTCAAACTGCATAATCACCATGCAGACAGATTGTGGGAAATGTGTTGCCTTTACTGCCTTAAAGGCACCGTAAGCACCAGCAATGGGAACTTTTGAGTAACAAGAGATCATCCAAAAAAGTAAACTCCAGCAATGTAATTAATTCACAGGACATGCTCACTGAAAGTTACATAGTAATTACATTTGTGACTGCTCTTAGTCACCTTTTACGCTCACCTGTCCTTCCAAATGTTGCTTCACAGCAGTATTACTCTCATGGGGGGTACATATTTGTTTAGGTTGCAGGTGTTACACACACTGGCTAAGAGGTGTGCTCACTGCAGCAATGTGTAGCAACTAGAGGGCTCAGCTGTCCTCACTAAATTACCCAATCCCAACAATCCTCCCTCTGATGTATTATTCCAAATTCCACTGCACCTGTCATGGAATGTGTCTGCTAAGTCCCTGTCAATGAAACACTCCTCAGCCCTTACAGGATGCTAGTCCTCTTCTAGAGCTCTGACCTGGGAGGCCCTGTAGTTCTCTACATTACCTGCTTGGTTTCCAGCTTTATCTTCTTCCCCTGACGGAGCTCCTCCTCTCCATGAATCGACATGTACCGCCGCACTTTGTTTGCATGTTTTTTGCTCTGGCAGGGAGTGAGGAAGAAAATTGGGTTAATGTGCAACAAATGCGCTATTCAATTACATCCAAAATAAGAAATCCAGCAACATCTTGCTGCCTGAAGTACCTGGTAATGAGCAAGCTTCTGGGACTCTGAGATGAGCACTGCGCTACACACTTTACATTGAGCGTCTGTGAAAATGTGGCTGTTCTCTCTGATCATACGATCAACTGTGAAGAACAAAACACGGAAACGTGTTGCAGTTTAGTTTCAAACAAGGTAGCTATGACTTCAGGGTCCAGTGTCTTTTATACTAACACTGTGCCACTACTACCATCTTAAAATATCTGTCACAATAATGTAGTTAGGGGGCCTAGAGTCTTGGATGGGCATTTTATTATTTTAAATCTATATGAGTAAATAATGTTTTCACCCCTCAGCTCATAGAGAGAGCCGAGAAGCGCACCCAAATCTACATCTCCCATGCTCTGGTGCTGGACATGTAGAGTAATTCTCCCCCAGGTTCCCAGTCAGGATGAGAGAGCACAGATACATACAAATCAAGGAGGAAAAAATCACTAAGTGCTGAATCACTTCTTAAATTCCCTTCCCACTCTCGGGAGAAACTCAGATATCACCACCACAACTAAGGGCTAGTCTACACTGGTAGTGCTAAAGCGGTACCGTGGAGTCACTCCCAGCGCTGGTGCACTGTCTACGCTGGTGCTTTACAGCGCTGAAACTTGCTACACTCAGGGGGGTGTTTTTTTCATGGGGGAGGGATAGCTCAATTGTTTGAGCATTGGCATGCTAAACCCAGGGTTGTGAGTTCAATCCTTGAGGGGGCAAAAACCAGTACTTGGTCCTGCTAGTGAAGGCAGGGGGCTGGACTCTCTGACTTTTCAGGGTCCCTTCCAGTTCTATATGAGAGAACTATCTCCATATATTTAAAGTTGCAGCACTGTAAAGTGCCAGTGTAGACAAGCCCTAAGTAACTTAGGCACCTAATGCATTCTTCTGAGAGAACTAAAAATAGAGATTACCTTGAACCCCACTCTAGCCTCAATCCTAAAGCAGACCTCACCTGTAGAGTGAGCAGGGGCCAATAGACATTTTACACCTTTAGTACACTAGCGAATAACAGTCCAATGTTAAGGGATGTGCAGCCACAGAAACACAACTCTGATAATTCACACCCCAAGAAAATCCATTGCAGACTATACCAATTCTAAAAATGAAAGAAAAGAAAAATCCAAGGAACATTTCACTTTGGGAAAACTGTCATTAAATCAGCACGGAAGTGTGAATACCAGGGACGATTCAACCTTTGCTTCCGATCATCAATCCATGGTCAGTTTAAATATGGCTTCAAACCTTGCATTAGCCTCCTCCTGTTACTGAGTCAACGGGCTAAAGACTGTGCAGCGGAGACGTCAGACATAAGATTAAATTCCTCAGCAAGGCCTGACATGATGTTAGGGAAGAGCAAAGTCATCCCACGGTCAGTGGCACACGAAGGAGCTGTAGGGCTCTCAGCCTTTCCAGACCACACCCCCTTTCCGGAGGCCGACTGGTCTTGCACCCCCCAAGTCACATCTCCCTTAACAACTACGGGCCTGCAACACACAGCAGTGTCCCCGCCACACTCGTGCTGAGAAGTGTCCGACTCTCTCCTGCTACTACACACCAATACCACACCCCGTGACACGCGCCGCGCGGTGCGGACGGGCCCGCGGGCGGAACTCCAGTCCGCAGCGGCTGTTCAGCCGGGCCCCGCTAGCGGGGCTGAGGGGCCCGGCCCG